TAAACCATTATCCAACTTATATTTCTTTTTCACTCCTTCAACAGCTTTAACATTTATACCTTTCTCCATGTTTTATTAGCAGTTTAGCATTGCTTTTTCAGCTTTCAGCACTCAGCATTTCCACGCATTTTCTGCAAGGAAATGCAATTTTTCTAGTTATTATTATTATTATTCTTCAACTCCTCACCACTTTGTGCTATTTTCACCATTCAAACTTTATACTAATGCACTCCTTCAGGACATTACGGCTATTACTTTTCACCTTTCTACCATTTATACTTTTTGCAATATTTCACTTTTTCTGCAAAATTTGTTCCATTACAAATGAATGGAGATACAGCTATAACACCTTCTCACCCTTATAACTTCTGCATACTTTCACCTACAGACATCATTTTTGCTTTAAAATGTTCAGCAACTCGTCTGCTACAAATGTTGTATTCACTCCTTTTTGCTATTTCCTACCGTTTTTGCACAATTTCGCTTGGAGCAACATGAAGTTCTCTGCCTTTTTCAGCCTGACTCACGCTACAGCGTGTGACGTCAGATGTTACGTCACCGCTAGATGCGGGCGGGGCCTTTTGGATTCACTAGACCAAGCGTGTTTATTCTGCTGCCGCGGCCGCAAGTTTCACTCCACAGCCATAAAAAACACATCAAAATGGAGGTACACTCGTCCTGCTTCTCACAAAATCGGTCTGAAGTCATGAAATTGTACAGCTTGCCCAGGAGGTGAGTACATTCCTTAGGAGCCAGAGATTCTGCACTTGTCATGGGCTGTGTGCTTCGATCGCACACGCACGGACTTGGCCGCTCGTGCGCGCGCGGGCACACACACACACACACACACACACTGTTTCCATGAGTGCATTACTGTATCTCTTTCTCTCTTACTGTCTCTCTGTCAGATTCTGCACTTGTCATGGGCTGTGTGCTTCGATCACACACGCACATGCACACGCACGGGCTCGCGCGCGCGCGCGCGCGGGCACACACACACACACACACACACACACACTGTTTCCATGTGTGAATTACTGTCTCTCTGTCAGTAGAAAATACAGCCCCAATATGAACTTTGTTGTTACAGTTCTTGTCTTTAACTCTTTTAACATACTAACTTCTTCTTTTTCTTCTACTTCTGCTTTTCTTTTCTATACTTTCTACATTTATACAATTAATTTAACTTCAGCTGTTTCATACTTTCTACATTCAGATGTAGGGCAGTAACTGAAGCAGGGCAATAGATGGTGCTGTTCTGCATTCTCAAGTTACTATGGTTGGATGCTGCAGACTGCAAAAATCTGTTTTACTATTTGTACATTTAATAGGAACATTGTTACACATTGTTTAAAGGCATTTGTTTTTCAAATTCAATTATCCATATCAGTTCTGTTTATTCACATCAATCATATACATTTTTCACTTAGGCTATCAGACAATTTGTACATTAATCCAACTAATTTACCTCCAGCTATACTACAATTCTTCCATTCATACAATTTCTTCTTCTTCTACTCCACCTTTTCTACAGTTTTTCCGTTTATACCTTCCTCCATTTTTTATTGGCAGTTTTGCATTGCTTTTTCAGCTTTCAGCACTCAGCATTTCCACGCATTTTCTGCAAGGAAATGCAATTTTTCTAGTTGTTATTCTGTTCTTTATTAAACTTATTATTATTATTCTTCCGCCGTTTTTTGCCGCGCTTCTCCTCCTTCAAACTTTGTCCGATTTCAACCGTTCAAACTTTAAACTATTCCACTCCTTCAGGACATTATTGCGTCTATTTTTCTTTTTTCTACCCTTTATACTTTTTGATTTTTTTTAACTTTTTGTGCAAAAATTTTAACATTGAAGTCAATGGGGAAATCTTCCACTTCTTCCTTTTTTTCTTCCACATTTAAAGTCTTATAACTTCAGCATACTTTCACCTAGAGACCTCATTTTTGCTTTAAAATGTTCATTCACTTGTCGACTATTAAAGTTGTACTCAATTTTTTGATATCTTTTACAGTTTTTCCACAATTTAGCTTTAAGCAACTTGTGGTTTTCAACAAATTTTCAGGCTTTATAATGGGTGTGTATTGGAGAGGCTAGAGTGATGATGTCATCAGCTAGAGTGCAGACCTCGTCTCTGATCGACAGAGCCTCGCTCGAATATATCGCTCCCACGCCCACAAATCTCACTCCACAGCCATAAATAATACATCAAAATGGAGGTATATGTGTCCTGCTTCTCACAAAAGAGGTTTCAAATCATTAAATCGTACCCCTTGGCCAGCAGGTGACCAACTGTCCAAAAAAGGCGGAAATCTCTCCCATTGACTGTAATGTAATTTTTCTCCAAGAAAATCCTTATCCCCACTCAGGCTCAGACTTTTTTAACTCGCTGTTGTGGCCACATTTTTCGGAGTACAGACATGAAAAACACATCATTGTGTTCATGAAGGGTGGAGGGTTCGTACGATGTTCTTATTTTCATTCTGGGATTTAAGGAAATCACGCTATATGAAGAAGTTCAGAGGCTTTAAATCCTCTGCAGTTCAGCTGCTTCTCATTCAAACAGTAGGTCAGTTAATGCGTTTGATGTCACAGCTGTTTAGGATTAAATCATTAAGGAGACACACACACACAGTCTGACAATGTGTGTGCATCAGCCTCTTTCTCTCTATGAGACCTTCAAGTACACACAGTAAATATGTGCATGCGTGAGTCTCTCTATGTCTATGAGACCTGAACACACTTTGACCATGTGTCTGCTTCATCACCTATCTTCTCTCACAAACTTTGAGATACAGAGACATTTAGGGCTTCAAAAATTCAGCTCATTGAGGACATTATGGAGTCTACAGAGGATTTCTATTCATTTAAATTGTCCTTAATTTAAAATCATTCTCATTATTTCTGGATTATTCAATTCTTCTAACAAATTTAAACTCACTCTTATTCAAACCTCTCTGATTCTTCAAACCTTTCTAATACTTTGGGATTTTTTTTTGTAATATTTCCCCACTTTAAATCATTTTTACTATTCATGCATATTTCAGTTCTTGGAACAAAATCCCACTTCCACTTCTACAACTACTACTTACATCACTTCTACCTTAACTAGTCTCGCTACTATTAGTACTAGAAAACAATTAAAATGAATTGATTGAACCACTGCCTTTCCGTGGTGTGAAGTCTGACATTTCCGAGTGTCCCTGAACGCCTCAAACATTAATACCGTGACCCACTGGTGGCTCGCGCTATCCTTCTCCGACCTCGACGAAGGTGAGTCAGAGCACAGTCTCTCTAACTTCTGAACGCTCCAAACGGTGATTGAACGTTTCAAATGGCACTGGTTTGAGTTATAATCAACGAAGAGTTCATTCGTGATTGAAGTGGTCGCGATAATGAGTTGAAAAAGCGTACGCTAACGCTGTTGGCGTCGAGTTAGCGCCGCTAGCGTCGAGCTAGCGGCGCTAGCGTCCAGCTAACGTTAAAGCTAACATACCTTCAGCTGTGAGGCTGAATCATTAGCCAGCTGAGCACAAAATAAAGTGAATATGTAAGCTGCTGCGGTACTATAAAGCATGCAAAATGATGTACAGGCTGTGGAGTTTACTGACAATGGGACTGACAAGAATACTCATATTGTCAAGTATTAACTGACTAAGAAGCTAACTAATGACGCTAACGCCATTGCTACAGGTTCAGTTCATTACTGTGACTGAGTCATTGCTGTGTAACTGGTCTGGAGACGTCAGCTGTTTACCTCCTGGTCACTTTTTATCAGCCATTGTAGATGTATTAAAATACAGGCTGCATTTAGCAGGCATCCAGGTATAGCACAAATCTGAGTGGTTTTTCTTTTTTTATGTGTCAGAATGGAACTAGATGGTCCTCTATTATTGAAGGTTTTATTCATGATGGGGATGATAGAGGTATTTACATTGCAAAACATAAAATGAATTCAGTATTTAATGTTTAACAATACGAAGTTCCAATTAATAAATATATTCCTGTTGAATTTCCCTTTAGGGATCTATTAAGTTCTTATCTTAATATTGAGTTGAAGGATGGAGAGTTAGCTGCCTTGAGGTTGGTGAACCTGCTCCAGGTCTGTCTCTGTCTTGCTGGCTGCTGCTGAACTTCACCTTCTACTGTACCTAATTTACTTTTGATAACAAGCTGTTAATTTGGATATTGGTGATGTGCTAACACCACAGCAAAGATACTTTATCTGAGGTATATATACTTTAATACAGTATGTATTATGTGTGACATTTTCAGCTGCAGCTAATAGCCAGGTGATCTGTTGGAGCTGTTTAGTTTTCAATTAGCCCAACTACTGTAATAATGTTAGTTTTCTTTATAGGCCTGTACTATGTACTATCTGTCAGGCAACACTAATGTATTGTTTCTTGTCTCAAACAAACAGAAGATACATCCTTCCCAGTGCATTTGTTGGTAAGTATAAGTGTTTTGACCAAGACTGACAACAAACAAAATAAAAATAACTGGATTAATGATTAGCTTAATCCTGTTAAACAACATATCATTCAAGATAATCTACAACATATGATGCATTTTTCAAGTACTGAGTTTAAATTGATACGAAATGTTGATCTATCTGTAACACTGTTGTATATCCTATGTGAAAATCATAGATGGGATACAGTTTTTACCTAGAAGACAATAGTGTGCTAACAATATTACTACACTACTGAATTAGTTTATGAAAAAAAATGCTGGCGAAAGTCTGAATCTTGATTGTGACAATAATTAAGTGAGAAAATCATTCAGATAAATTTTGAATGAAGTGTTTTTTTTAGTGTATTAAAAATCTCTTTCCCTCCCTCTCCCCCCTCCTCCTGCCTCAACTTGTCCTCTGACCTGGGCGAAAATCCCTACCAACTCTGAAGTGTAAGTTCACGCTTAAAGTCAGGTCCATAAATATTGGGACATCAGCATAATACTCATCTCTCTGGCTGTAAACACAGTTGACTTTAAATGGAACAAACAAGATGTGCTTTGACTGCAGACATTCAGCTTTAATATATGGTTATTTACATCCACATTAGGTGAAAGGTGTAGGAATTAAAACAGTTTGTATATGTGCCTCTCACTTTTTAAGGGACCAAAAGTATTGGGACAAACCAAAAATCATACATCAAACTTTCACTTTTCAATATATGGTTGCAAATCCTTTGCTGTCTAGGAGGCATAGATACACCAGACGCTGGGTTTCACCCCTAGTGTTGCTCTTCCAGGCCTTTACTGCAACTGTCTTCAGTTCCTGCTTGTTCTTGGTGCATTTTCTCTTTAGTTTTATCTTCAGCAAGTGAAATGCACGCTCAAACGGATTCAGGTCAGGTGATTGACTTGGCCATTTCATAACATTCCACTTCTTTGCCCTACACCGTGCACCTGATTTGGATGTAAATACCCTTAAATTAAAGCTGAATGTCTGCAGTCAAAGCACACCATGTTTGTTTTGGTTCAAATCCATTGTGGTGGTGTTTACAGCCAGAGAGATGAGAATTGTGTTGACGTCCCAATATTTATGGACCTGATGGTATATATATACTTATTGGGCAATCACTTAAATGTTACATTTTTGCTCTGTAGTTTGTAATTATATTTCACTGTTTTGTATTTCACCTCAATAACTTGCATAAGAAAGTAAAAAGTGAAGAGGTCCTTCATTCTGTTTGTGCATTTTCTCTCCATTTTAACAAACATTTTTACAGGCCAAGGGAGCTGCAGTAACATCCTTTTACTAATCAAGTGCAACAAATTGTAGACTTTGATAAGAAATGAGAAAACTAATGATCCGCAGTGAAAAGATGTGATTGCAGTAAACTATAAGATGCTGATTTTTTGCAACTAAATTTATTTATTTTTTGTCCCTCTTTTCCCTCCTGAACTCCTCGATGCTATCTCTACTGCTGGCCCTGTTCACTGTTGGCGACTCAGCTGTAAGTTCACAAATAAAGTAACTTAAAAATGTTTACACTGTTACTTTTTTAAACATATGTAAAAACCTGACATTATGTTCTTATTTGACAAACTGCAACACATTTTCATTGTAACACAAACCATTTTAAATAACACTTAATTAATTTTGCCGGCTGATTACAGTTGAAACTGCAATGCAGTGAGATGTGCTGGTTTTCTACAATTAAACTAAAAATCTCTTGTCTCTATTTTTCCATTTTCCTTTTTGCCAACTCTGTCCTGTCTCCAAGTGCAGACCGCTTTGTGGCGACTCGACGTAAGTTCACACAGGGATGACACTTTCATGAATAAGACAGTGTGCCATTATTCAACACATTATGGACCCCTCATCATGTCCTAACTTAACAATTTGTTTCCTTTGATTATGTAATACTCACAGTTGGAAATGAACAGCTTGAATGTAATATGCAGTACACTTATTTGCATTTCATTTCCAATCCCTGGAAAGCAATTTATTACTATTAAATTGTGGAGTTGGAATTTTTTAACGATGAAAATCCAAATAATTACTAATTGAATGTGATTCCCTCCTATGTGCATCTCTCATATTAAAAAAACCAGCTAATTTAATGTTCTTTAATATGGAATAGACAATCATTATTTATGCAGCCATTGATTTATTTTATTATTCATTTAATCCTATGTTTAGATATGTGTATATCCTTCTAAGGTACTTGCATGCTTCTGTTTACAGCTCATGGAGGTGCTTGGCCTCATTACTACTTTTTACATTGTTGGAATACTTAAAACACAGTAAAGGAAATTACTTTCTCCAAAATACATAATATTTTATCAGCAGAGTAATCCATTGTTACTTTTGCTTATCAGGACATGGTTATGAACATTATAAAGGGAACTTAAAGTAAAGAGTCTAAAATACACAGGGATAATAGAACTTTTTGTAAAATACTTTGAGGTCCTAAATTTAAAAAGGTGGCTCTGTGGTTGGATTCAAGTTGGACTCACTGTAGGATGTGGTGGAGAGATGTACTGTGAGGAAGGTGGAGGCTATTCAAGAGAACATGGATCACCCACTTCACAACACCTTGGTGGACCAAAAGGCCTATGGTGGTGGACGGCTCCTCTCTCTTCGCTGCAGGACATAAAGATTCAGAAGATCTTTTGTACCCACAGCCATCAGACTTAACAATTCTTTTAAAAATAGTAGATGACTTTTTGAGTTATGACAAATGAGACTACAGACAATCAAATTTCCCTTCAGGGAAAAAATAAAGTTCTCCTTACCTTAAATACATTTTTTAATGGACTTGTATGAGCACTTTGGATTTTTAGTTCTTATTAATTTGATTGATGGGTTATCAAACAGGGCAATGGTCAATTCCAGAATTTGACTCAACTTGGCTTTTGATAGATGTATAGTTAAGGATAGCCATATGGTGGGTTAAGTAAAAGCACATAATAAAGACATTAGCTTTGGGTGGATGTCGGTTCATTTTATTTCTTTTATAAAAAATGATTCATGTTTGTTTTCATTGTCTTACAGGTATCGTGTCCAGTCTCCCCACTCCCCTATCTTTTTGGCCGCTCTGACTTTCCTGTCTCCTCTACCGCTCTGTCTGATTAAAAAGCCACTCTATCTTGTGTCCCCCTTTTCTCTATCCCTCTAACTAAGTTTTGGACGCTCTGACTTTCCTGTCTCCTCTACCGCTCTATCTAATTGAAAAGCCACTCTATCTTGTGTCCCCCTTGTCTCTATCCCTCTGGCTAAGTTTGGTTACTCTGACTTTCCTGTCTCATCTACCACTCTGTCTAATTGAAAAGCCTTTGAGAAACCTTTCTGGAACAAGCCTTTGAGAAACCTTTCTGGAACAAGCCTTTGAGAAACCTTTTTGGAACAAGCCTTTGAGAAACCATCTGAAATTGCCATCCTTTGAGAAACCATTTGAAATTGCCATCGTCATAAACCTTTCTGGAACAAGCCTTTGAACCTTCTGATAAACCTTTTGAAACACAATTTTGGAGAAACCTTTTGAAAGCCTTTTGATAAACTGATTTTGAGAAATCTTTTGATAAAGCTTTTGAAACACAATTTTTGAGAAACCTTTTAATAAACCATTTTTGAGAAATCTTTTGATAAACCAATTTTGAGAAATCTTTTGATAAACCTTTTGAAACACAATTTTTGATAAACCATTTTTGAGAAATCTTGATAAACAGTTTTTTTCAGAAACCTTTTGATAAACCTTTTACAATACCACTTTTGAGAAAACCTCTGATAAACCTTTTTGTAAACCATTTTTGAGAATCCTTTTGAAACACCATTTTTGAGAAACCTTTTGAAACAGTTGTACTTCTTATACAACCACTACTTTGAAAAATCCCTAATTTTGCACAAGTCTGATTGTTGTTTTAGGTCCTCCTTTCCTGTGTGTGGATCCAGAGTTTCACCAGAAGTGTCATCAGCACCACCACATCTGCATCCCTGATTTTGAAAGAAAAAAAAAATTCCATATAGAATTTTTGAGTTAGATATTATTTCAAGCACAAAGTTCTAAGATTTAAAAATTGTTGTTGATTTGTGTTTTTTTCTGAAAACATTTATATAGTCTTGTGTAGGAGTTTCTTAAAAAACATTTGATAAACTATTGTGGTATACACATAGTTATAAATTAGATTTTTTTGAGACTGTAAGAGCTGTTAAATAACGTCCTCTTGAAGAAATAAAGCATTTTTGTCTTTACTGGTGCTTATCAGTAATTTAATTGTTGCATAAACACATTGTTGTGAACGAATAGTTACAATGCCAAGGAAGAGTAAGAAGTCACAGGCTGCAAGCCAGCGCTGGCAGAGGGTTCATGACATTGAATTTGTGAGTACTGGACAAGCAGATTGTGTTCCTCAGAGCAATGGAGAGGTAAAGAGGTCTGAAGTGTCTGATGCTGTGAAACAGGGAGGTCCAAGTGCACCGTATCAACCACAGGCATCTTATGCAGACGTGAGTGAGTCACCTGCAGCAGGTCCATCTAACTCTGGACAGGTAAACCACAGATGTGAAAGAAATGATCCAGGTGCACAACAGGTAACATATGCAGACATGTTGAAGAGAAAAGTTCCTCGTGTGTCATGTATTGCCGGTCCATCCAACTCTCGTCAGATAAACTACATAGCCCAAACTGACAAGCCATTTTCAACCCAGGTATTGCATGCAGACACTGTTAACCACCGTAATTATCAGTCTGTAGCAACCTCTTCCCAGGCAGGAAATATTAATGCTGTTAATCAGTCAGGTGAACAAAACGTCTGTGCGTCACGCAGCCAAGCGTCTCTGAAATACGGCCAATCCAGAAACCAGCAGTGCACCTGTAACTCACTGACATTTCTAGCATTCCTGTATGAGAACGAACACATAACCAGAGCAGATCTGGACCGTGTTTTGGATAAAGGTAATGCGATGTACAGAGAAATCAGAAAAACTGTTGATCACGCCCATCTGACAACCGATGAACTCCCTGAACAGGTTCCTGCACGCAGACACACGCAGACTGTTGACAAGTTACAGATGTCTAGATACGGTACGTTTGGAGATCCGGATCCCAGCGCTGTTGATACCTTTCTGGACCTCGAGATGGGACTGAGCTGCTTATTATCAGATGTGCAGTATGCTTTGCTGCTAATGACTTCGTTGTGCATTGCAGTTTTTAGAACCAGAGATGGCAGGTACGGTTTCTTTGACCCACATGCTCGGACAGCTAACGGTTTGCCTCTGCTTCAGGCCACGCCTACTCCTGGTACTGCTGTCATGCTAACATTCACACGCCTCAGTGACATGATTGAAAGGCTCATCAGGTATCACCGCATATTGGGCACAGCAGCGTCATGTACCTATGAGCTTAAGCCAGTTGTGTTTTATAATGTGAACCCAAGTGATGCTATCCCAACCACAGGAAGTCCGTCCACAAGTCCCTCTGTCACAACCAGTGTGATAAATGATGACAAAAGTGCTCCACAAATGAACACTGATGTCCATGAAAACACTAAGCATGACATGGAAACTGAACCAGAACCACTGATCAACTTCAGCCAATGTTCTGTCACATTAACTGGTCCTGAATCTCTCGTTCTGGAGATGAACACTACTGTAGGTGATGACTGTCATGACACATCACAGAAAGTCTCAACTTTGATGGAAACACAAGCTCATCAACCAGGTCCAATCAGCAATAATCCTGTCACATTAGAGGAATCTCAGGAGACACAATCAAATTTGACTGAACTATTAATAAATATCCCTGTCACCAGTGACAATGTCCTCCATGACATTTCTAGTGAACTGTCAAAATTGAACAAACAGCAAAAACAGAAATTTAAGAGGAGACAAATGAGATCTGAAAAGACATCACAAAAGAAAGAGGATAAAAACAGGAAAGAGAGAGAAAGGTATACTAAGGATGAGACATATAAGACAAAGAAAAAGTCTTATTCAAGGAACAAATATTCTGACAATCATGAAATACAGACAAAGAAAAGACAAAAAATCACAACTAAATACAGGGAAAGCGCAGACTTCAGACTAAAGCAAAAATTATATATAAAAAGAAAATACAGAGAAAATGTTGAATTTAAAGGCAGACAAAAAGAATATATCACAAGGAAATACAGAGAAAATGTTGATTTTACAGGCAGACAAAAAGATTATATCACAAGAAAATACAGAGAAAATGTTGAATTTAAAGGCAGACAAAAAGAATATTTTAGGAAAAAATATGGAGAAAATGTTGATTTCAAAGGCAGACGAAAAGAATATTTCAGGAAGAAATACTCAGAGGACATTAATTTCCGCCGAAGACAGCGATCCTACTTCAATCATCGATATGCAAACGATGAAACATTCTGTCACAGACACAGACAGCTGATGAGACAAATAATGCAAGACAGGTATAAGACAAATCTTCCATACAGGACTATGCATAAAATCAGATGTGCATTGAAAATATCAACGAAATACAAACAGATAAGTAAACAAATATGCAAGACTGACAGAGAGATTGAAAACCCTTTGATTGAGAGTGCCATAAATATTTTCAGATTACACATTAAAGCTGGTCCCACCTATATTTGTACGGTTTGTCACAAAGCCTCATTTCCAAACCAAGTGCAAAAGTGCAAGAGGTCCAATTATGTGAAAAATCCAATCATGGTTTCAGCTTGTCTCAAAGGTCAGTACGTCCATGAGTGTAATGATAACTGCAGAAACCAGTGCACTGTCCCTGATGAGAGGAAGACTGAGTGGATTTGTCACACCTGCCATGACCATCTGAAAAATGGAGTCATGCCCAAACTTGCCATAGCAAACAACTTGGAGCTTGCTGACATACCACCTGAGCTGTGTGACCTCAACATACTGGAGAGACATCTGATAGCAAAGTGCATAACATTTGCTAAAATCATTCCTCTTCCCAAAGGCAGACAGAGAGCTATACATGGTAATGTTGTATGTGTTCCCTCTGAAGTCCAGGAAACAATTCAGGCTCTACCCAGATTGAGAAATGAGTCTCAGGTGATGAGAGTAAAACTGAAGAGACGTTTGAGTTACAGAGGTCACCATCTGTTTCAGACTGTTACCTGGTCCAAGCTAGTGCAGGCTCTGCATAAACTGAAAGAGATACACCCCCAGTATGAAGACATCACTATTAGAGATGAGGAGGAGTTATGTGACCCCACACTTCCTGATGATGGTGATGAGGATGAGGATGATGATGATGGTAATGATATTACAATGAATGATGACGACTATGATGATGAGGATTTGATGGAAATTGATAGAATTGAGGCTGCTGCCATGTATGAGGCTGAAACTAGTGTTGAAAATGAGGATGAAAATACAGAGCTGTGTGATAAAAGTCAGACCCAGGACAATGATGATCAGACACAACAACAGGATGCAGACATATCTAATGGTGGTGTTGTTTTGGAGTCGTGCCTTCAGCCACGGGATGTTTCTGAGGAGATATTGTGTTTCAGTGACTCTACATACTCAGTAGCTCCAGCAGAGAGAAACAATCCAGTCAGTTTTTTCAAAACACCCAAACTAGAGGCCATGGCGTTTCCTGTTCAGTTTCCCACTGGTGAGAATACACTGGATGAAAACAGACCAATGAAACTATCACCCAGTAGTTATTTTAAAGCAAGGCTCTTTGGTGTTGATGATCGCTTTGCCAAAGATACCAACTACCTGTTCTTTGCACAGTTTGTGACTGAAATACACTTGGCTACCTCCAGCATGTCAATACAGTTGCGCAAAGGCAAACCTTTTACCAGAGACGGACGTAAAATAACATCCAGAATGTTGAGAGACAAATACGAAGTGGAGAGACTGGTGAGAAACAGAGATGCTATCAGATTTATGCAGCCGCTCAGAGGAACACCAGCCTACTGGGACAAAACTACAAAAGATCTGTTTGCTATGATCAGACAGTTGGGCAGTCCTACTTTCTTTGTCACATTTTCTGCAGCAGAAATGCGTTGGCCTGAGGTGATTATTGCAATAAAATTACAACAAGGTGAGGAGGTGAATTTTGAAGAGCTCGACTGGTCCACAAAGTGTGACATTCTGAGAAGCAATCCTGTGACAACGATGCGCATGTTTGATAAGCGTGTTGAAGCACTGTACAGAGATCTGATCATGTCTCCTGCACAACCCCTGGGCAAAGTTTTTGACTTCTTTTGGCGTCTCGAGTTTCAGCACAGAGGAAGTCCTCATATACATGGTCTTTTGTGGGTAGAAGGTGCACCTGTGTTTGAGAGAGACTCTGACAAAACTGTGTGTGACTTTGTGTCCAAACACATCTCTGCTCAGCTCCCTGACCCAAACAAACAGCCTGAACTGTACAAAAAGGTCAAAGAAGTGCAAATACACAGTAAGAACCACTCAAAGACATGTTTCAAAAGTGCAAGTTCTGGATGCCGATTTGGATTCCCAAAACCACCCTCCAGACAGACAATGATAACAAGACCTGTGGGTGATGATGAGGAGTCAGAGAGACTAAAGACAGCCAAAGAGAAACTTGCACCACTGAATCAGCTGCTGAATGAGACACAAACTGAATCCATGAGTTTTCAACAGCTCCTGTCTGTCTGTGACTTAACCGCTGATGAGTATGAGAAACACATGAATGTGATGAGTCAGTCCAGCAACATCATTCTGAAGCGTGAGCCAAAAGACTGCTGGGTAAACACCTACAACCCTCACCTGCTCAAAGCTTGGGATGCAAACATTGACGTGCAGTTCATTCTCAGCTACTACAGTCTGATCCATTACATATGTACGTACATGTGTAAAAGTGAGAACTCTGTGAGCCAGTACCTGCAAACACTCATTCAGAACTCCGACAGAGAATGTGTCAATGAATGTGATGAAATGAAAGCGGTCATGCAGGCGTATTCCAAAAAGCGAGAAGTATCAGCACAAGAAGCTGTTGCCCGAGTGACTTCACTGAACATGAAAAAGAGTTCACGCAGTGTGGTTTTTGTCCCAACTGATGACAACCCAGTGAAAATGAGTCTGCCTGTGTCAAGCCTTGACAACACAACACCAGACAGCTTGAATGTGTGGATGACATCCTTAACAGACAAGTACAAATCCAGACCTGAATCACCAGAGTTTGAAGAGATGTGCATGGCTGATTTTGCGTCTACCTGCAGACTGGTGTATGGACAACAGACCAAGGGCAAGAAAGTGGTACCTCTGCTGAATGAACTAGGCTTTATACAGAGACGAGAAAGTGACAACGCTGCTGTCATCAGGTATCGCCGCATATCCAAAGAGAAATACCCTGAGCAGTTTTACGGCACATTGCTTAGACTGTATCTTCCATACAGATCAGACGATGAGCTGAAAAGACCATATTTTCCCACGTATGAGTCATTCTATGAGAGAGGTGTGGTTCAGCTGCCGTATTCTGACCGACCCCTGAGTGTGAAACTCATCGTGAAAAGAAACAGAGAGAGATATGAAAAAAACAGTGAGGAAATTGACTCTGCTCTCGAGGACTTTGAACAGAACAGAGGTGTGGTCGATGAATGGTGTAATTTGGCACCTGAATCTGAACTGGTGAGGTTGGAGTGTATCGATGAACTGGATGCCAGACAGTGTGAAAATGTCCAAGAGGATGTACCGGATTACAGCAGACAAGCAAATGCTGCTACAGAGGCCAGAGTCATGAGAGAGCCCCCTACAATCGATCCCACACGGTTACGACAAATGTATCAGAGTCTGAACCAGAAACAGGCATGTGTGTTCTATGCAGTAAGAGACTGGTGCATAAAACGAGTCTGTGGACCACAACCAGAGCAGTTTTTCTACTACATCAATGGTGGTGCTGGCACTGGAAAGTCACATCTCATTAAATGCATTCATTCAGAAGCATCAAAGATTCTGAGAACACTACCTAGACGTGCTGAAGAAGCTGACATCTCAAACCCGACTGTGCTGTTGACTGCTTTCACTGGAACTGCAGCCTTCAACATCTCTGGAACAACACTGCACTCTCTCCTCAAGCTGCCCAGAAGTTTGAAACCTCCTTTTCAAGGTCTTGGGAACCAACTTGATGAAATCAGGTGTGAGCTTTTAAATGCTGAAATCATCATCATTGATGAAATCTCCATGGTGTCGAAGCCACTGTTTGCCTATGTGGATATGAGACTGAAACAGATTAAAGGCAGCCACAGACCCTTTGGAGGAATGTCAGTCATTGCTGTGGGAGACTTTTACCAGCTACCGCCTGTGCGACAGTCCAAACCACTCTGTGTCTATGATCCAAGTGAACTTGACCTCTGGAGAGACAACTTCCAGGTGATCACTTTAGATGAGATCATGCGACAGAAGGATGACAAAACTTTTGCCGAGATGCTGAACAGACTCCGTGTGAAAACAAGGTCAGATGAGCTTTCTGAAGCTGACAGAGCTCTGCTGTCACAGCGTGTCACTGAACCACAACTGTGTCCCTCCGATGTCCTGCACATTTTTGCTACAAACAAACAAGTCGCAGCACACAACTCTGCTACACTATCTCTGCTCCATTCTGATATCACCACCATTGATGCAGATGACTTTAAAAAGGACCCACACACTGGACACATGAAAAGACAAGGTGCACCATGTCATGGAAGCAGAAATGATCTACCAGACACCCTAGATGTTGCAGTAGGTGCTAGAGTCATGCTTACCAGAAACATAGATGTGTCTCAAGGATTGGTGAACGGATCATTTGCTACAGTAGGCCGTCTCATAAGCTCTGAAAACAACGGTTCTGCTCTTGTCACTATGCTTGGTCTCAGGATGGATGATGAAACAGCCGGCAGGAGCTATCGTACTAGAGGAGACAATCTTGTGTACATCGAGAGATCTGAGGAGGCTCTGCAACAGAAAGGAGTGGTACGCAGACAATTTCCTGTGAAACTTGCCTTTGCATGCACGATACACAAGGTTCAAGGTATGACCAGAAAATCAACTGTTGTCTCTCTGAAGCACATTTTTGAGCCCGGCATGGCCTACGTAGCTATCAGTCGAGTGACCTCTCTCAGCGGACTGCACATGCTTGATTTGGATGAGAGTAAAATTCATGCTAACCCTGCAGTCACTGTATCTTTGGAGACCATGACGCAAGCTAACTTTGATCACCTCATGCCTTTTCTCCAGATCCAGCATTCTCTCAGCAGACAGGACACTGTGAGCATCATTCATCACAACACCGAAGGATTACCTGCTCATGTGAATGACATCAAAAGCCATCATGAACTGTGTCTTGCAGATGTTTTGTGTCTGACAGAAACTCACCTACAGGGCTCCTTTGTGGCAGACAGTCTCCAGTTTGAGGGCTACACCATGTTCAAACGCAACAGACATTTGTCCTACACTAACTTTCCACAGATGGCCAGTAAAGGAGGTGGTGGAGTCGCTGTTTATGTGAAAAACCATTTGCAGGTTGTGGAGAAGCAGTACCTGAATAATGTGACTGACCTTGAGTTTGTGGCTTTGAAGGTTGAATCTCCTGTAAGTGCTCTGATTGCAGCTGTGTACAGACCTCCAGACTACAGTGTGCCATCATTCCTGTCCAATCTGGGAAGCCTTCTGGACTCACTTGAGATCATGGACTGTCATCCTATCATTGTCTGTGGCGACTTCAATGAGAATCTCTTTTCTAATGCAAGTAAGCCAATTTTGGATTTCTTTCAGTCCAAGGGATATGGTCAACTGATCACTGCTGCTACAACGGACAAGAACACACTGCTGGACCTGATTTTCATCTCAAGACCTCGGCTATGTCTCTCCTCAGGTATCGTGCAGACATACTACAGTTACCACAATGCCACTTACTGTGTTATTTCATCCAACAGGTCATAGAAGAAACTGCTCTGAAGGGAAAGACAAACTACAAAAGCTGTGGCTAATGTTATGCTCATATTTTCAGTACAGATTTAAATGTGTTTGGTCATTGTAAATTTTACTCGTGCAAAAAATATTTTTATGGTTTAGAATTTTTAGATAGAAAATATTTTTCAGGTTGTAAAATTTTCTAACTATTCAAATGTTATAAATGACAATTTTTGGCCTGTGCATTTATCAAGTCCAGTCAAGTCAAGTTAATCCATTTAACTTGACTTGACTGGACATGGGGAGGGTGGGTGCGGATTGATAAATGCACAGGCCAAAACTCTCAGCTGCTGTGTACAATACTGTATACAGCAGCTAAAATGAAAAACCTCCATCAGAAAGTGTGTGTTCCCTAATGAACACACACTTTCTGATGTTCTGTTACCTACCAGCTGAAACCCCCCTTTTCTCCACCCAACTTTACACCACTCTATTAGCATGGGTGGCTGTAAGTACACTAGAGCAAACCTAAGTTTCCTTTTCTTTGGGTATGTTTTTAGTTTTAATTTTTTATTATTTTTTTTTTTTTTCAGTTGTCCCCACCATCTTTAACCTGACCCCCATTAGTACTATCCTGACTAGCTCACTGTAAACTGAAAAAAATTATCAAACTGTCAACCAAAAGTAAACACATCACCTGTGGATGCAGTAGAGTAGAGCTAAGTTTCCTTTTGTTTGGGTATTTTTTTTTCTTCTTCAGTTGTCTCTGCCATCTTTGTCCTGACCATTAGTGCTGTCCTGACTCACTTATGAGCAGAAAAAAATTATCAAACCGTCAACCAGAAGTAAACACATCACTTTGGACCACTCAAAGACACAGTCTACCTGCTGTTTAACCCAGTCTTTGGTCAGAGGTGAAGAAGAGATGACATCCTCCACACCATCCCCCTGCTGCTCTCAACAACCATCATCGCTGTGCTGGACAGACTGCAGCACCCACCGGGACCCTTCTCTCATGGACTACACAAACATGTGTTTTACCTGCTTGTGCTCCAGATGTCCTGAAGCAGCTCTCAAGGACCACCAGACACCAGGCTGAAGCAGAACTGATGCTGTAGTACCTGTCACTCACTGGGCTCGTTCCTGCTGAACCTCCAAGAAATAAACCCCTCTTCAAGAAAGTCTGAGGTAATGTCTTGGTGAACTTGTGTTCATTTATTTTTTCTTACTTATCTTAGCTGCTGTATTAATGCTTGTGACGCTATTGTACAGCTCTGCTGATATCGTCTTTAACAGCAGTGTTTTCTCCCAGGTCTTCTTCAAGCCAGTTAAGAGAGGAAGAACAGCTTAGACACTCAGGCAGCTGAACGCACCAAAGGTGGACATCATGCAGCCACCCTGAGCCTTGAGTCTCTCTGTGTGAGGAAGCTTTGCTGCTGCAGACCTGGTGAAGTTGCCCTGGACAGAAATAATTTTTGCTCTGCTGCAGTGCTGAAGGTATTCATTGTAATGATGTGTGTATTTATTCAACATGTTTAGTTTCACAGATTATCAACACAAATGTTTCTGTTTATTTCCTGTTTTGAACCAGCTACATTCTCCTACTTCAAGTCACTGTCTGTTCATCCACGGTGTAGCCAGTGCAGCTCAGCAGAGTCCTACTAATGGTGATCCTTCAAGTCCTGCAGCCCTATGAAGCAAGCTGCAGCAGAAGTCAACACATTCAGATCATCAGTTTATCTTTACTGCAGCTTTAAACTTTACCCGAGGTAACGGTGTATAACAAAAACCATGTTTGACCAACATAGAAAAGCACAGAATTAATGTTAGCACAGGATTACAGAGTTAAAGTGAAGGGGATTTTGTTTGTTTTTTTCAGGCCTCTCCTCCTCCTGCCTCTGACTCCAGTGATGCTGTCAACTCGAACACTGATAACTGCACACGGCGATCCTACAACCACAGGTCAAAGGTCAAAACATTACCTCACTCTAAACCTTCACTCTGAACTGTACCGGGCTCTGCTTTTGGTTTTGAAAAAAAGTGCCCAGACAGAACACAGTACTCACTTGAGGAACTGACTGATTGTCTTCAGGACAGGACAACTATTACTCTTATATTGTTTTGAATCCTGTTTTCTACATTAAGTGATCGGTTGTCGATATCTGTTAATATTTTAAGTTTCCTTAATGTTTCTTGGACTTTATTTGTTCTATTTTATTTTAGTATTTTCTTCCCCTTTTACTGTGTATCTGTCCTTATATCAAAAGATGACCAACACTGATGAAGGGAAAAAATACCAGTTACTTCAGTTGTTGCAGGCAGCTGAATTTCTCGTTTTAATATGCTCACCATATCCCTACATTTTATCCCTACATCCCTACAATTTACCTACAAGAGAAGTCGTGTTTTAGAAATAAATGATGTACTTTGGGTTTCAGCTGGTAGGTACACTGAAATTTTTCACGTGTGCTTAGTCTTGGGCTAATGTTTTGGACAGAAGTGATCCCAGCATTACAGTGTGAAACAATCCCTGCTGAAGGTTGTCATCACAATCCTCAAACACAGGGCTTGGTTAAACGAGCTGTGTGAAGGGATTTCATAGAGGAACAAAGTTTTTATGCTTATCCTTAAAATGTAATTCTCCATAGTAGAAAACTTTTTAAAAAGAAACTATCAACGTGAAGACAACCCAGCATTTCAGTAAGACAAGTAGTGTGAATGTTTGGATAAGAAAACACGGGTATCTAAAATGCTGACCAGATTGTCAGTCCACTACAATGAGCTGGTGACAGTATTAGCCTTGGTCTAACTACTGTGAAAAGCTTTTTGGGTGGTAAGGTGGACTAATACATGCTATAAAAAATACTTCAGTGCCATATTTAATTCATACGCCTTTCACCTTACTTTGCCTATATATTTCCACAAGCCTGGATAACTTTGCACCTTTTGCATTTGCATTCTCTACCTTACCCTCCACATTATTTTAAATTTTAAATTTAGATTTAATTAAAAAGATATATTTTAATTTCTGTAAAAGACTTCTGTACTACACTGTACAGTAAACTGCTGAGTTATTTTTGCTGACCAGATTGTCAGTCCACTACAATGAGCTGATGACAGTATTAGCCTTGGTCTACTGTGAAAAGCCTTTTGGTGGTAAGGTGGACCAATTCATTACATCAATTTATTTCAAGTTATCAAATCTACTTTTTAATCTGATCATTTTAGATTTTGTTTAATGTTTCAGTTTCACATCATTTAATTTTATTTATTATTATAATCATTTATTATTCTATAATTTTCTTTTTTTTCTACATGAGAGGGCCCACATTTCAATGCAGTTAGCTTTAAAAAATACTACAATGCCGTATTTAATTCATATGCCTTTCACCTTACTTTGCCTGTATATTTCCACAAGCCTGGATAACTTTGCAATACTTTGTAATACTGCTGACCGATTTTAGTAACAATTTTCTCAAGTCACCATTTTCATACTTTTTTTTAATGTATAGGTATAAAGGTTTTTCCGATGTGCGAACTTAGTCTTAGGCTAATCTAAACCCTTAAAACACACATAACAGTCCTGTATCAGACTTTGAAATCAAATTTCAAGGTCTGTTTTTAAAGCCCACAACACAGGACTTGGCTCAATGGGCCATGACAAATTTTATGAGCCAACTTTTGTGAAGGCTTAGTAATCCGAAAACACAAGAAAAGAGGTGAATGTGGGTACAGGGCTGCTGGAGTTTGAATCCAGTAAATAATGGGGTGTTAGCCTCAGTCTAACAACTGTGTGAAGAGCCTTTAATGATTGGGCTAAACAATTTTAGAAACAACTGAAAATGTGATACCTTTGTCCATCAACAATCACAGCAACTACAATCTTAAAACCTTAAGCTTAAGAGACAGATTGGTCACCCATGTAAAGATTTCTGCTTCCAAAACCTGTTCACAAACAAATTGTTTATAATTTGATTTAAGGCACTATGGAGCACTATTTCTTTATGTGTTTATGTTTTGATGTTTTTTTTTAAATTATTTTTTTATATTTTATGATTAATCATTTCATTGCTCACAAAATGTTAAAGAATTGACAAAAATGTTTTTTCTTTTTTTCTTTGCTTTGGTTTTACTTATGTAAAAACTCAATTTGAATTTTCAAGTTGATTCAAATTTTAAATTAAAAATATTTGTGTAATGTGTTCATTTCTCATCTACATTCATTTCTACTTCTTCCAACATGAAGGCCTTTTCAGCCATCTTTAAAATTCTTTACCATATTTTCTGTAATGTTCAAGTTCAGTTCTTTAGCAATTTGAATATTCATACAGCTACTGGTTTACCTCTCCCAGTGTTTTTACATCCATACAACTCATCTCTTTTTCATCATCTTCTTCTTCAGTTCTGTTACGGTTGAAACATTCATACAACTTCTACTTATAACACTTCACCCCTTTAACAGTTTTTTCATTTATACCTTCTCCATTTATTACTGGCAGTTTAGCATTGCTTTTTCGTCTTTCAGCACTCAGCATTTCCACGCATTTTCTGCAAGGAAATGCAATTTTTCTAGTTATTATTATTAAGTGGAAATGCTGATTAAGCATTTCCACTTATTGTTATTCCTGTCGGCCATTTTTCTTTATTATTATTATTATTATTATTATTCTTCCGCCGATTTTTGCCGCGCTTCTCCTCCTTCAAACTTTGTCCGATTTCAACCATTCAAACTTTAAACTATTCCACTCCTTCAGGACATGATGGCGTCTATTTTTTTTCTTTCTATCCTTTATACTTTTTGTTTTTTTTAACTTTTTGTGCAAAAATTTTAACATTGAAGTCAATGGGGAAATTTTCCAATTCTTCCTTTTTTTCTTCCGCCTTCTGAGCCTTATAACTTCTGCATACTTTCACCTAGAGACCTCATTTTTGCTTTAAAATGTTCACTCACTTGTCGACTATTACAGTTGTACTCAGTTTTTTGATATCTTCTACAGTTCTTCCACAATTTAGCTTTAAGCAACTTGTGGTTTTCAGCTAATTTTCAGGCTTTATAATGGGTGTGTATTGGAGAGTTTAGAGTGATGATGTCATCAGCTAGAGTGCAGAGCTCATCTCTGATCGACAGAACCTCGCTCGAATATATCACTCCCACGCTCACAAATCTCAATCCACACCCATAAAAAATACATCAAAATGGAGGTATATGTGTCCTGCTTCTCACAAAAGAGGTTTCAAATCATTAAATCTTACCCCTTGGCCAGCAGGTGACCAACTGTCCAAAAAGGCGGAAATCTCTCCCCATTAGACCTAATGTATTTCTTCTCCAAGAAAATCCTTATCCCCACTCAGGCTCAGACTTTTTTAACTCGCTGTTGTGGCCACATTTTTCGGAGTACAGACATGAAAAAGACATCATTGTGTTCATGAAGGGTGGAGGATTCGTACGATGTTCTTATTTTCATTCTGGGACTTAAGGAAATCACGCTATGTGAAGAAGTTCACAGGCTTTAAATCCTCTGCAGTTCAGCTGCTTCTCATTCAAACAGTAGGTCAGTGATTTGCCTTTGATCTCACAGCTGTTTAGGATGCAGTCATTAATGAGACACACGCACGCACACACACACACACACACACACACACACACACACACACATTCTTGTACTTGTTGCTTTGTGAGGTCTACCTTGCAGTTCAGCTGCTTGTACACACAGTTAATATGTGTCTGCTTCACCACCTATCTCCACCCACAAACTTTGAGCTACAGAAACCATTCTGGGCTTCTAAAATTCAGCTCATTGAAGATATTATGGGGTGTTTTGAGGATTGTGATTATAAATTGTATTAATGTGTTCAGCAGAGTCTTGTGGTTCTCACAAGCTCCTTATCATGAATATATACAGAGGATGAGCGTTAGGGCCTACTTGGAGTACTGCTTCCTTAGCTTCAAGCCTTCTTTCTCCTGCCAAAGTTGTGCATCCAAGGTCCCCATGGCAACCAATTAGTTCACCTAGAGACCCACAGCTGACTGGAAAGCTGCTTCTAATGGCCATATGAGACACATGAAGCCAGGCTCAGTACACATAGCACTGGGGATGACACTTAAAACCCTTTCCTAGAGCGCTTGAAAAAACTTCAGCCCGTATCTCCTCACATGACCTTTGACCTACAGAAACCATTCAGGGCTTTAAAATTTAAGCTCATTGTAGACATTATGGGGTGTATTCAGGATTTATATTCATTTAAATTTTTCACATTTTAAAGTCACTCAGTGATGATTTATCATTTAATATTTCAAACTAATTTAAACTCATTCAAACTGATTCAAGCCTTTCTAATACTTTAAAAATTTCTGAAACTTGAGGATTTTTAATGATTTAAATTTTCCATTTTCTAAATTAGTTTTAATATTTATGCATTATTCCATCCTTCAAACAAAATCCTACCTCTAGAGCTACAACTACTGCTAATGTCAATTGAACTAGAACTTTCCCCTCTACTTCAACTGCTATTGCTCCTATTTCTACTTTCTCTACTGCTGCTATTGCTACTATTTCTACTTTCTCTACTACTTTGACTTATACTTATTTTATTCTCAAACTACTTCTACTGCTGACATGACTACTAGTATCATGACTTGACCTCTTATCATACTACTTCTAGTACTACAACTTAAACTTATGCCACTTCTCACCTTCCTGCCTTTAAAGGCAATTTCCTTCTTCATTCAAACTTTGTGCAATTTTAGACATTTTTCTAGCCTCTTTCAGCATGAATCAAATTTCCTTTTACAGAGCAAATTCACACTATTTGTCCTTCAACCAATTGAACAGTTATCCAACTTATATTTCTTTTTCACTGCTTCAACAGCTATAACATTTATACCTTTCTCCATGTTTTATTAGCAGTTTAGCATTGCTTTTTCAGCTTGTTGTTATTCTGTTCTTTATTAAACTTATCATTATTATTATTATTATTATTATTATTATTATTATTATTATTCTGTACCTTTTTTGGCCCTTTATAAGTTTTTCCCAGTTTGTGCGATTTCAACCACAGTCTTACAACGTGTGTGCGTGTGTATCTCTGTCTAAAGGACCTGCATGTACACACAGTTAATATGTGTCTGCTTCACCACCTATCTCCACCCACAAACTTTAAGCTACAGAAACCATCAGGGCTCCAAAAATTCAGCTCATTGAGGTCATTATGGGGTGTATTTAAGATTTTGTTAATTAACTGTATCAATGTGTTCAGTAGAGTCTTGCGGCTCTCACAATCTCCTTATCATGAATATAGCTGTTACAGAGGATGAGCATAGTCTGGAATTTTGTTTCTCAGCTTCAAGGCTCCTTTCTCCTGCATCTACGGTCCCCATAGCAACCTGTAGTGCACCTGGAGACACACAGCTGACTGGAAAGCTGCTTCTAACAGACATATGAGACACATGAAGCCAGGCTCAGTACACAGCATATTGGTGATTCATACTGCCACTGAAGTTTAACTTTGATCATGTGTGTGCATTAACGTCTTTGTGTCGATAAGAGCTACTAGCACACACACACACACCACTTCTAATTGTAACATCACTTTTACTCGTACTTCCACTTTTACCACTACTTCTGCTACTACAATAACTACTAACATCTCTTTTACTAGTACTCCACTTTTACTACTTATACTACTACCATTTATACCACCAGTCAGGGGCGTCACTAGGTTTTAAAGACAAGGGGGGCTTAGCCCCCAAGAGATGAACAGGATGTGAGTGAACGTAGTGAGCGATCACAAAATTTCACAGACAGAAAACAAAGACTGAGAAATTGCTTTTCAGCTTTTTTGGACGGATTTAACTAAGATTTAGTCTCAGGCCACCAGTAGTTTTTTTGTTTTATTTCAGTCTTTTTTTTCTTCAGTTCTTGGAACCACTACTGACCAAACTATCATTTTTTATGTTTTTGCCAAACACTTTACATGGGCAACAGAAAGCTGTATTCTGGTTGACTGAATATTCTAACCAGTTGTGCTTTTCAAACCAGCTGTAGTGAAACGCTCGCTTCTGTGTACCAAAATTATCTTGTGGGTAGCTCTTCAGCTTGACCTGTCTGGGCCCTGTGTCTTTGTCACCTACATCAAACCCTGTAGTGGAATGAGTTGCTGCAGCTGCTTCATTATTTTCCCTCTCTTGGCCTGTTTGCTCTCCTCTCTCAGCTTCCTCTGCCATTTGCTGCAGCTCCTCAGCCTTTCCTTCTGCCTGACCCTCCAAGATACATTGAAACACACTGAATTAATAACTAATCCAAACATAGAGGCTAATGTCATGACTTAAGCTCACACACCACCCACAGTAATTTTTTGCTTACACAGATTACATTTTGGGCCCATATGTGACTAAAATGGTTGCAATTTAAAGCCCTGAAAAATATTACTAAATTACTTGAATTAAAGTAATATTAAAAATAGAACCCCCAAAAATATTTGGGTCAGGCTAATTTGTCTCTTTGCTCTCTCCACTTTCTAATTTTGACTCTCTTAAATAAAAACTCAAATGAAATAAGTCTTATATGGTGCGCCATGACTGAAATTTCATATTTCATATCCATATTGAGTTCCATAAAATTCTAATCAGACTGTCTGCATCACTCCTGTGAATTCTTTTAGACTCACCTCTTCAGTAGAGGTGTCTCCCCTCTCACTTGCTGTGCTCCTCTGTCCTAACTCCTACAGGTCAGTGGGGATGGTGGTTTGAGTATTATTAGTGCATTATTATTTTCCACTGATGATAATCATACGTGAATGAGCTCAGCTCGTTTTTTTTCAGAGCTAAAACAAGTGACAGAAATCAACATCATGTTAACAATTTAACTTGGTGTGATAGCCAGGTTTTTATTTATCAAAATGGGAAGCACCTGGTTTATAAATTACATGGGACTATTAGCTGTTAGCTGGAGCTTATTGTTACTACCAGCAGCTATAAAGACTTACTTTTTTGAAAAACTTGCATATGTCCATGATGCTGCTCTCTGCCTGGCTCGTAATGTGACCGTCTCGCTGTGACTGTGTGAGGGAGCATGTAGGTACTGCTGCTGGCAGCAGTGAAAACGCGGACTGGATTTTCAGTAATGTGGGCGTTCTCTATATCAACAAGTGGAACGGATTGAATAACTAAGCGCTGACGAAGGCTCTCCACCTTACACAGTGAAGTCATGGGAAACTAAATGATTTGTGATCATATTTAAGTGAATAATGAAATTTTATATTATTATTTATTTAAACTCGTATTCCTGCGTCTTTGTATTGAATTTGTCTGCACTTTTTTGTAAAATATATATATATATATATATATATATATATATATATATATATATATGTTTAAAAAAAAAAAAAAATTTATTTAGGGGGGCCACTTCTTCGACTACAGCAACGACTTCCACTACTACTACCACCACTTCAACTACTACTGCTATGACTAGCTCTACAACTTCAACTTCTATCCCTCTACATCTCCTTCTATTCTTTTTCTTTAAACATAACTTTCTTTATTTGAAGTAATTACACAGACAGCAACATGTCAGTACAATTTGACAGAGAAGATCTCCACTGTATCCTTTTCCCCAGTTCTTTATCCCTCCCACGTCTCCTTCTATTCTAAACCCACTATAAGTACTATGACAAGTACTACCGCTAATATGACTACTACTATCACTTCTACCACTATTCATCTTACTACTACTACCACTAAAACGTCTCCAACCTCTTACTTAAATCCTCCTAGGGATCTTTGGGGTCCTATCAGTTGTATTTTTGCTGTCATTTTCACATTCATTATGCTGGTATGACAATAATTTTTATGTGTTAATTTTTTAAAATGAATTTCTATTTCCCACAATGTGTGGATTAAGTTAACCACTGTGTTAACCACCTTGTCGGGTGAAGTGTGAAATTTCCGAGTGTCCCTGAACGCCTCAAGCATTTCTAACGGGACTCCGCCTTGGCTCGCGCTATCCTGCTGCATCTTACAGAAGGGTGAGTCAGAGCTGAGTCTCTGTCAACGTCTAAACGTTAAAAATTGGGATTTAATCTTTCAAAGTGGCACTGGTTTGAGTTATAATCGATGAAGAGTTTATTCATGATTGAAGTGGTCGAGATGTTGACTTGAAAACGCTTACGCTAACAGTGTTAGCGTCGAGCTAGCGGAGTTAGCATCGAGCTAGCGGAGTTAGCGTCAAGCTAGCGGAGTTAGCGTCGAGCTAAGGCTAACACACTGTCATTTATGGGGCTGAATCATTAGCCAGCTGAGAAACGCACAAAATAAATTGATGTGCAGTTTGTAGAGTTTACTGACATTTGGACTGAAGGGGATACTAATATTGTCAAGTATTAACTTACTACTGAAGCTAGCGCTGTTGCTACAGGTAGTAGACAGACAGTTCATTACTGTGACTGAGTCATAGCTGGGGAATTGGTCTGGAGACGTCAGCTGTTTAGCTCCTGGTCACTTTTTATCAGCCATTGTAGATGTATTAAAATATAGGCTGCATTTAGCAAGCATGCAGTTATAACACAAATGTGAGTGGTTTTTCTTTTTTTATGTGTCAGAATGACACTAGATGGTCCTCTATTATTGTAGGTGTTATTCATGATGGGGTTGATAGAGATATTTACATTGCAGACCATAAAATTAATTCAGTAGTTAATGTTCTACAGTATGAAGTTCTAATTAATACAAGTTCTTACTGAATTTCACTTTAGGGATCAATAAAGTTCTTCTTATCTTAATATTGAGTTAATGGGTGGATAGTTAGCTGCCTTAAAGTTGGTGAACTGGCTCCTGGCCTGTCTCTGTCTCACTGGCTGCTGCTGTACCTCACATTATACTGTACCCAATTTACCTTTGATCACAAGCTGTTAATTTGGATATTGGTGATGTGCTAACACCACAGCAAAGATATTTTATCTGAGGTGTAAATACTTTAATACAGTATGTATTATGAGACATTTTCAGCTACAGCTAACAGCCAAGTGATCTGTTGGCTGTTTAGTTTTCAATTAGCCCAATTACTGTAATAATGTTAGTTTTCTTTACAGGCCAGTTGTTTTTAGTGTGCTATCTGTCAGAAAACACTAATGTATTGTTTCTTGTCTCAAACAAACAGAAGATACACCCGCTCCAGTGCATTTGTTGGTAAGTATAAGTGTTTTAACCAAGACTGACAACAAACAAAATAAGAATAACTGGATTAATGTTGAGCTTAATCCTGTTAAACAACGTGATATTCTAGATAATGTACAACATATGATGCATTTTTCAAATACTGAGTTTAAATTGATATTAGGCCTGTCGCGATAATCAATAAATCGCCTTATCGCTCGGTAAATAAAAACGAGGTCGGTCATTTTGCCAGCCTCGATAATTGACGTGCGTTTGTTTTCCTCCTCTCTCGCTACCAAACACGCTGGATGAGAGAAGAGGTCTCACTCTGCGCATTTTTCTCGGCACCTGGGGGCGTTGGCTCTATAGCGGAATGAACGGAGTTAGTGAACCCTCCTGTCAGTCATTCAGTGTCTTTGTTACGAGGGGGCTGGCGCGCACAGGCACACAGACACAGACTTTTGGATACAGTGCTGCAAGTAAGCGTCGTGAGTGAAAAGCAAGCGAACAGAATGAACACGACAGCTTTGGTGTCTAAACCGAACGCAACAGCCCAAGTGTAGGAATATTTCGGCTTTAAACCAGTTTTGTTTTCGTGAACCACAAAACTCCACGTGTGTGCGCACGCGTGTGTCTGTGTGTTGGAGGAGCACAGCAGGCTGATGACAGCTGTCAGAGCGGACTGAAGCTGCTCCTATATGTTTAGCGTTTAACTGACTGAGTTTTGCAACTCTATTCGTCATTTTCGTGTCGTCCCATCAACGTAAACGCACTTTCGTCTTGTCACATTTTAGTCATCTCCGACTTATGTTTAGCTCGTCAACGTTACGTCTTCGTCGTGGGTGAAATTAAAGTTTATCACTTTTGACACGGTGTACTCGCATTATTATGCCATTTCATATCATTATCTATAATTCAAAAAAACGGTGTCAATAATATCGTTTATCGGCGATAATTTGTAGCACAATTATCGTCCAGCAAAATTTGTTATCGTGACAGGCCTAATTGATATGAAATGTTGATTTATCTGTAACACTGTTGTATATCCTATATGAATATCATAGATGGGATACAGTTTTTTCCTAGTAGACAATAGTGTGCTAACAATATTACAACAGTACTAAATTATTTTTTGTAAACATTTTAATTTGCTGGGAAATGCTGAATCTTGATTTTGACAATAATTAAGTGGGAAAATCATTCAGGAAATTTTTCTTTAAATGAATTGAGCTGTGAGGGAGGTTCTTTTGAGTGTATTAAAAATCTCTTTTCCTCCCTCTCCCCCTCCTCTTGCCTCATCTTGTCCTTTGACCTCGTGCCCTACCAACTCTGAAGTGTAAGTTTACACTTGTATACTTATTAAGCAATCAATTAAGTGTTGCATTTTTGCTCTGCAGTTTATAATGACATTTCACCGTTTTGTATTTCACCTCAATAACATACATAACAAAGTAAAGAGAGGGCCTTCGTTGTGTTCGTGCATTTTCTCTCCATCTTAACAAACATTTTTTACAGGCCAAGGGAGCTGCAGTAACATCCTTTTACCAATCAAGGGCTACAAATTGTAGACTTTGATAAGAAATGAGAAAACTAATGATCCACACTGAAAAGCGGTGTGATTACAGTAAACTATGAGTTACTGATTTTTTTTGCAACTAAATTTATTTATTTTTTGTCCCTCTGTCTTATCCCTCCTTCTGAACTCCTCAAATCTACCTCTACTGCGGGCCCAGTTCAACGTTGGCGACTCAGCTGTAAGTTCACAAATAAAGTAACTCAAAAATATTTACAGTCACTTTTTACAACACATCATGTGAAAACCCGACATTATGTCCTTATTTGACAAACTGCAGCACATTCTCATTGTAACACAAACCATTTTAGATAACACTTTATTTAAACTAATGCAGAACCAAATGGAAATAATTTTGCTGGCTGATTACTGTTGGAACTACAATGCAGTGAGATGTGCTGATTCTGTACAACTAAACTAAAAATCTCTTGTCTCTGTTTTTCCATTTTCCTTCTTGCCAACTCTATCCTGTCTCCAAGTGCAGACCGCTTTGTGGCGACTCGACGTAAGTTCACACAGGAATGACATTTTCATGAGTAATACAGTGTGCCTTTATTCAACATGTTATAGACCCCACATCATGTACTAACTTAACATTTTTTTCCCCCTTGGTTTTGTAATACTCACAGTTGGAAATTAACAGCTTGAATGTAATATGCAATACACTTCTTTGGATTTTATTTCCAATCATTGGAAAGCAATTTGTTGCTATTAAATTGTGGAGTTGTAATTTTTTAATGATGAAAATCCAAATAATTTCTAATTGAATGTGATTCCCTTCTTTGTGTATCTCTTATATTAAAAAAACAAGCTAATTAAATTTAACTTAATATGGAATTAAGACATTATTCGACACCACCATTGATTTATTTCATTATTCATTTAATCCTAGGTTTAGAAATGTGTATATCCTTCTAAGGTACCTTGCATGCTACTGTTTACAGCTTATGGAGGTGCTTGGCCTCATTACAACGTATTGCATTGTTGGAATACTTAAAACACAGTAAAGGAAATTACATTTTCCAAAATGCATCATATTTTATCAGCAGAGTAATCCAATGTTATTATTGCGTAGCAGGACATGGTTATGAACATTATAAAGGGAACTTAAAATAAAGAGTCTAAAATGCACAGGAATAATCCATCTTTTTATAAAACAATTTGAGGTCCTAAATTTAAATAGTTGGCTCTGTGGTTGGATTCAAGTTGGATTCACTAAAGCAGGCATGTCCAAACTATTCCACAAAGGGCCGGTGTGGCTGCAGGTTTTTCTTCCAACCAATCAAGAGCACGCAGTCTGACCAATCAGCTGTCTGAAGACTGAGATCAGCTGATGAAATGAATCAAGTCTGGTGTGCTGCTGCTTGGTTGGAAGAAAAACCTGCAGCCACACCGGCCCTTTGTGGAATAGTTTGGACATGCCTGCACTAGAGGATGTGGTGGAGAGATGTACACTGAGGAAGGTGGAGGCTATTCTAAAGAACATGGATCACCCACTTCATAACACCTTGATGGAACAAAGGGCCAATGGTGGTGGACAGCTCCTCTCTCTTCGCTGCAGGACAGAAAGATTCAGAAGATCTTTGGTACCAACAGCGATTAGACTTTACAATTCTTCTATAAACAGTAGATGACTTTTTGTGACATAACATATGAGACTACAGACAATTGAATTTCCCTTCGGGGACAATTAAAGTTCTTCTTATCTTAAATATATTTGTAATATACTCTTATGAACACTGGATTTTTAGTCCTAATTTAATTTTTTAAAGGGTTAGTAAACAAGACAATGGTGACTTCAAGCATTTTACTCAATTTGGCTTTTGATAGATGTATAGTTGAGGACAGCCATTTGGTGGGTTGAGTGAAAGCACGTTATTAATGACATTAGCTTTGGGTGGATGTTGGTTCATTTTATTTCTTTATAAAAAAAGATTAATGTTTGTTTCCATTGTGTCTTACAGGTATCCTGTCCAGTCTCCCCACTCTCCCCTATCATTTTGGCCGCTCTGTCTTTCCTGTCTCCTCTACCGCTCTGTCTGATTGAAAAGCCCTCTATCTTGTGTCCCCCTTTTCTCTATCCCTCTAGCTAAGTTTTGGCCGCTCTGTCTTTCCTGTCTCCTCTACCGCTCTGTCTGATTGAAAAGCGATCTGTCTTTCTATCCCCCTTCTATCCCACTCTGACTACTAAAACAATCATTCAAACGTGTGTTACCAATCATTCAAACCTGTGTTACCAATCACTCAGAAACGTGTGTTACCAGTCACTTGAGAACGTGTGTTACCAGTCACTTGAGAACGTGTGTTACCAATCACTTGAGAACGTTTGTTATCAAATCAACTTGAGAACGTTTGTTATCAAACCTATCTTTTGAGACAATCTTTGTTATCAAACCTATCTTTTGAGACAATCTTTATCAAACCTATCTTTTGAGACAATCTTTGAGAAACCATCTTTTGAAAAAAGCCATACATTTAATACAAACACTGCTTTGAAAAATCCCTAATTTTGCAAAAGTGTGATTGTTGTTCTAGGTCCTTCCTGTCTGTGGATCCAGAGTTTCACCAGAAGAAGTGTCATCAGCACCACCACATCTGCGTCCCTGATTTTTGAAGAAAAAAAAAGTTGCATATAGAATATTTGAGTTAGATATTATTTCAAGCACAAAGTTCTAAGATTTAAAAATTGTTGTTAGTTTGTGTTTTTTCTTAAAGCATTTATATAGTCTTGCCTGGGATTTCTTTAGAAAACATTTGATAAACTATTGTTGATATACACACAAAGTTATAAATTAGATTTTTTTTCCCTATTTTGAAAGGAAAAAAAGTTTCATATAGGATATTTGAGTTACATATTATTTCAAGCACAAAGTTGTAAGATTTAAAAACTGTTAGTTTGTGTTTTTTTCTAAAAACATTTATATAGTCTTGCCTAGGATTTCTTTAGAAAACATTTGATAAACTATTGTTGATACACGCACAGTTATAAATTTGATTTTTTTCAAACTGTAAGAGCTGTTAAATAACCACCTCTCTTTAAGAAATAAAACATTTTTGTCTATACTGGTGCTTATCATTAACTTTAAATTGTTGCATAAACACATTGTTGTGAAAGAACAGCTACAATGCCAAGAAAGAGTAAGAAGTCACAGGTTGCAAGCCAGCGCTGGCAAAGGTTACATAATATTGACTGTGTGAGTACTGGACAAGCAGATGGTGTTACTCAGAGCTGTGGAGAGGTAAAGAGGTCTGAAGTATGTGATGCTGTGAAACAGGGAGGTCAAAGTGCGTCATGTCAACCACAGGTATCTTATGCAGATGTGCTTAAGAGGAGACGTGTCAGTGAGTCACCTGCAGCAGGTCCGTCCAACTCTGGTCAGATAAACTACATAACCCAAACTGACAAGCCATTTTCAACCCAGGTATCACATGCAGACACTGTTAAGAAGGGAAACCACAGTAATTATCAGTCTGTATCAGGCTCTTCTCGGGTAAGAAATGTTAACGCTGTTAGTCAGTCAGGTGAACAAAGCGTCTGTGCGTCACGCAGCCAAGCTTCTCTGAAATACGGCCTATCCAGAAACCAGCAGTGCACCTGTAACTCACTGACATTTCTAGCATTCCTGTATGAGAATGAACACATCACTAGAGCAGACCTGGACCGTGTTTTGGATAAAGGTGATGTGATGTACAGAGAAGTCAGAAAAACTGTTCGTGATCACAACCATCTGACAACCGATGAGCTCCCTAAAGAGGTTCCTGCACGCAGACACACGCAGATTGTTGACAAGTTACAGCTGTCTAGATACGGTACGTTTGGAGATCCGGATCCCGGAGCTGTTGATACCTTTCTGGACCTCGTTTCAGGACTGAGCTGCTTATTAACAGATGTGCAGTATGCTTTGCTGCTAATGACTTCGTTGTGCATTGCAGTTTTCAGAACCAGAGATGGCAGGTACGGTTTCTTTGACCCACATGCTCGGACAGCTAACGGTTTGCCTCTGCTTAAGGCCACACCTACTCCTGGAACCGCTGTCATGGTAACATTCACACGACTCAGTGACATGATTCACAGGCTCATCAGGTATCACCATATATTGGGCACAGCAGGGTCCTGTCGCTATGAGCTCAAGCCAGTTGTGTTCAATGTTGAGAACCCATGTGATGCTATCCCAGCCACAGAAAGTCCATCCACAAGTCCCTCTGTAACAACCACTGTGATGAATGATGACACAAGTGCCCGACAGCTGAACACTGATGTCCATGAAAACACTGAACGTGACATGGAAACTGAACCAGAACCACTGATCGACTTCAACCAGTGTTCTGTCACATTAACTGGTCCTGAATTTCTCACTCCAGAGATTAACACTGCTGTAAGTGATGACACATCACAGAAAGTCTCAACTTTGATGGAAACTCAAGCTCATCAACCAGGTCAAATCAACAATAATTCTGTCACACTAGAGGAAACTCAGGAGACACAATCAAATTTGAGTCAACCATTGATAAATATCTCTGTCACCAGTGAGAATGTCCTCCATGACATTTCTAGTAAACTGTCAAAATTTAACAAACAGCAAAAACAGAAATTTAAGAGGAGACAAATGAGATCTGAAAAGACATCACAAAAGAAAGAGGATAAAAACAGGAAAGAGAGAGAAAAGTATGCTAAGGATGAAACATATATTGCAAAGAAAAGGTCTTATTCAAGTAACAAATATTCTGACAATCCTGAAATACAGACAAAGAAAAGACAAAAGATCACAACTAAATACAGAGAAAGCCCAGACTTCAGACTGAAACAAAAAGAATATATCACCAAAAGATACAGAGAAAATGTTGAATTCAAAGGCAGACAAAAAGAATATATCACCAAAAGATACAGAGAAAATGTTGAATTCAAAGGCAGACAAAAAGAATATATTACTAAAAAATACAGAGAAAATGTTGAATTCAAAGGCAGACAAAAAGAATATATTACTAAAAAATACAGAGAAAATGTTGAATTCAAAGGCAGACAAAAAGAATATATTACTAAAAAATACAGAGAAAATGTTGATTTTAAAAGCAAACAAAAAAAGTATATCAGGAACAAATACTCAAAGGATGTTAATTTCCGGCAAAGACAGCAATCCTTCATCCGTCATCGATATGCAAATGATGAAATATTCAATTTTCGACACAGACAGCTGATGAAACAAATGATGCGAGACAGGTATAAGAAAAATCTTACATACAGGATGAATCATAAAATCAAATGTGCATTGAAAATATTAAAGAAATACAAAAGGATAAGTAAACAAACACGTGAGACTGACAGAGAGAGTGAAAACCCTTTGATTGAGAGTGCCATAAATATTTTCCGATCACACATCAAAGCTGGTCCCACCTATGTTTGCACGGTTTGTCACAAAGCCTCATTTCCAAACCAGGTGCAAAAGTGCAAGAGGTCCAACTATGTGAAAAATCCAATCGTGGTTTCAGCTTGTCTAAAAGGTCAGTACGTCCATGAGTGCAACGTTGGCTGCAGAAACCAGTGCACTGTCCCTGATGAGAGAAAGACTGAGTGGATTTGTCACACCTGCCATGACCATCTGAAAAATGGATCCATGCCCAAACTTGCCATAGCAAACAACTTGGAGCTTGCTGACATACCACCTGAGCTGTGTGACCTCAACATACTGGAGAGACATCTGATAGCAAAGTGCATAACATTTGCCAAAATCATTCCTCTTCCCAAAGGCAGACAGAGAGCTATACATGGTAATGTTGTATGTGTTCCCTCTGAAGTCCAGGAAACAATTCAGGCTCTACCCAGATTGAGAAATGAGTCTCAGGTGATGAGAGTAAAACTGAAGAGACGTTTGAGTTACAGAGGTCACCATCTGTTTCAGACTGTTACCTGGTCCAAGCTAGTGCAGGCTCTGCATAAACTGAAAGAGATACACCCCCAGTATGAAGACATCACTATTAGAGATGAGGAGGAGTTATGTGACCCCACACTTCCTGATGATGATGAGGATGATGGTAATGATATTACAATGAATGATGACGACTATGACGATGAGGATTTGATGGAAATTGATAGAATTGAGGCTGCTGCCATGTATGAGGCTGAAACTAATGTTGAAAATGAGGATGAAAACACAGAGCTGTGTGATAAAAGTCAGACCCAGGACAATGATGATCAGACACAACAACAGGATGCAGACATGCATAATGGTGGTGTTGTTTTGGAGTCGTGCCTTCAGCCACGTGATGTTTCTGAGGAGATATTGTGTTTCAGTGACTCTACATACTCAGTTGCTCCAGCAGAGAGAAACAATCCAGTCAGTTTTTTCAAAACTCCCAAACTAGAGGCCATGGCGTTCCCTGTTCAGTTTCCCACTGGTGAAAATACACTGGATGAAAACAGACTCATGAAACTATCACCCAGTAGTTATTTCAAAGCAAGGCTCTTTGGTGTTGATGATCGCTTTGCCAGAGATACCAACTACCTTTTCTTTGCACAGTTTGTGACTGAAATACACTTGGCTACCTCCAGCATGTCCATACAGCTACGCAAAGGCAAACCTTTCACCAGAGACGGACGTAAAATAACATCCAGAATGTTGAGAGACAAATATGAAGTGGAGAGACTGGTGAGAAACAGAGATGCTATCAGATTTATGCAGCCGCTCAGAGGAACACCAGCCTACTGGGACAAAACTACAAAAGATCTGTTTGCTATGATCAGACAGTTGGGCAGTCCTACTTTCTTTGTCACATTTTCTGCAGCAGAAATGCGTTGGCCTGAGGTGATTATTGCAATAAAATCACAACAAGGTGAGGAGGTGAATTTTGAAGAGCTCGACTGGTCCACAAAGTGTGACATTCTCAGAAGCAATCCTGTGACAACGATGCGCATGTTTGATAAGCGTGTTGAAGCACTGTACAGAGATCTGATCATGTCTCCTGCACAACCCCTGGGCAAAGTTTTTGACTTGTTTTGGCGCCTCGAGTTTCAACACAGAGGAAGTCCTCATATACATGGTCTTTTGTGGGTAGAAGGTGCACCTGTGTTTGAGAGAGACTCTGACAAAACTGTGTGTGACTTTGTGTCCAAACACATCTCTGCTCAGCTCCCTGACCCAAATAAACAGCCTGAACTGTACAAAAAGGTCAAAGAAGTGCAAATACACAGTAAGAACCACTCAAAGACATGTTTCAAAAGTGCAAGTTCTGGATGCCGATTTGGATTCCCAAAACCACCCTCCAGACAGACAATGATAACCAGACCTGTGGGTGATGATGAGGAGTCAGAGAGACTTAAGAGAGCCAAAGAGAAACTTGCACCACTGAATCAGCTGCTGAATGAGACACAAACTGAATCCATGAGTTTTCAACAGCTCCTGTCCGTCTGTGACTTAACCGCTGATGAGTATGAGAAACACATGAATGTGATGAGTCAGTCCAGCAACATCATTCTGAAGCGTGAGCCAAAAGACTGCTGGGTAAACACCTACAACCCTCACCTGCTCAAAGCTTGGGATGCAAACATTGATGTGCAGTTCATTCTCAGCTACTACAGTCTGATCCATTACATATGTACGTACATGTGTAAAAGTGAGAACTCTGTGAGCCAGTACCTGCAAACACTCATTCAGAACTCTGACAGAGAATGTGTCAATGAATGTGATGAAATGAAAGCGGTCATGCAGGCGTATTCCAAAAAGCGAGAAGTATCAGCACAAGAAGCTGTTGCCCGAGTGACTTCACTGAACATGAAAAAGAGTTCACGCAGTGTGGTTTTTGTCCCAACTGATGACAACCCAGTGAAAATGAGTCTGCCTGTGTCAAGCCTTGACAACACTACACCAGACAGCTTGAATGTGTGGATGACATCCTTAACAGACAAGTACAAATCCAGACCTGAATCACCAGAGTTTGAAGAGATGTGCATGGCTGATTTTGCGTCTACCTGCAGACTGGTGTATGGACAACAGACCAAGGGCAAGAAAGTGGTACCTCTGCTGAATGAACTAGGCTTTATACAGAGACGAGAAAGTGACAACGCTGCT